ATACTACTAGCAAGGACGCTACTAGGGGCACTCCTGGCCATACTACTGGAGCAAGGACACTACTAGGGGCACTCCTGGCCATACTACTGGAGCAAGGACACTACTAGGAACAACCTCGTCGCTTGTCCAGGGCCACCACGACTGCTTGAGTTGCCCACGCATCGCTTCCATGGATGATGACAAGGCCTCCGAATCAAGGCGATGAACTGTTGTAAGTTAAACTCTAGAAAGCCTCACTCAGCCCAGTGTGGCCTTCAGCTCCAATTGGGCGCTTTGCATCTCACCCTGTGAAATCAAACACATATATTCACATATATGTTTGAAAACTCAAAAAAACATGTTGTTCGTTCATCTGTCAAGGCTTAAAAGTACCTGGACAGTCATCATGTTGCAGTCATCATGTAGCAAAGATCACATTGGGCCGCTTGGCCGCGCCTGTCTTTCCAAGTTCTGCTCGGCAGCTTCCAAACGAACCTTCGCCCAACCACCGTTGAAACTAACGAATTCGTTTAAAGCATACTTGCTTGGGTAACTTTGGCGCCTTTCTTAGTACGTATGCAAACAAAAGCAACTGCCGGATCTGGCTAGCAATGGTTGATTGCAGACTTGCCAAGCCTGATGAACCCTTGTGTCTGCTTCATGTTGCAAACGATCAGCTTGCTCCTGGATAGATGTCTCAGTTGTAGAAGGACTTCCAAGAGTACTGGGGGATGCCAAAGGTTTGCATTGCAGGCATCAGTCTGTCATTATCTTTCTACTTTAACACTCTTTGAAGCTCTTTCTGTCAAATTTCAGAGGGCCCATGAAGCCTGCAGCCGTCGCGGAAAGTCATGAATGTCGTGCTCTATCTCCTCAGGATACTTCACCACATCAAACAAGAGGTTCGATATGTTCAAGCCTCAATTCAAACTTATTCCGGGTCTTTGATCAAATTGCAGCTCCTGAATACGACGTTGGTATTCATGGCTGAGCTCCTGTACCTATGAAGTATGAGTGCAAAGTGTATGTGCAAAGAAGGGGAATATTTATTCCGGCGAAAGCAACACGTGTTCAGACGGCACGTCTTTTAGTTGCCGAGTTGTACTCGTCAAGCGCTTGTTGACCTAGCAGCTAGGATGCTAGGATGCGGCTGGAGGCCAAGCGCACAAAAGGGTTGGACTCTGGAAGTCTCTTTGGAAGCGCCTCCTCATGCTGCAACTGCAAGTCTCGCAGCTTCTGCTCAAGCAAACGGTTCCTGACAACCATTACAAAACCCTTTCTTACCGAAGGGGGTGAGGGTTAGGCCATGAAGGCCGGCCAACAAGAGAGGCTGGTTAGGTAGGCGCTGGCTTGCTTACTAGTAGCTAAGCAGTATGCCGCTAAATAGCCATTAGGCTGGGATGCACAAAAGTTCAGGCTTGATTGATTCGGCTTTGGAAACTTTGTGAAAGCTGCACACCTTATCGAAGTCTCGCCTGCTTTTCATATCATCCAGAGTAGTCTGAGCTGCCTTGCTCTGCCGGCCTTCCTGCAGCTGCAAGGATTTTGCTCTGCTATGTACCCAAATCTCAAACATTCTGATGGATGCTTTTCCGGGGGTGCCGTACCCTCACAAATGTGCCTTGTCTAACCTTTGGGCCAAGTCCGCTTTCATCTGTGATAGAAGCATCACCTGCGGAAAATGCCCACAAGAATGCAGCTAGGCACATGTTGAAGTTCAGACGAATGAAAACAATATCACCCAGGTGATTGATTTACACATTGGCACTGGAACCTTTTCTATTTGACCTGGCCTCCTTGCGCAAACTTTCTCGTTGTGCAACTGCTTGTGCTCTAGCCTCAAACAAGCTGCATCATTGATTGCGCGACCCAACACAATCTCACCCTTCAGCACCTTTGGTGCGGGCGGGCTTCAAGAAAAAACGAGTAGAAAAGAAGGTAAGGCACCCTTTAGTAAGGCTCCCTAAAGGGGGCCTTATCAAAGGGGCCTTACCTTACTTTGTTTTCTCTAGTACTGCAAGACCTGACAACATGATTGGACGTCTAGGCAACGTGTTATTGGTGGAATTACAAATTTGCAAGTAGCTCATATAGTGTTAGTTTATGCTGTGTGGCATATATAGTGTAAGAATTTGGCAATTGGATCTGAGAGGTTTGAGAAAGGTTTGAAGTCGCGACGAGTGTGGAAATCATATTTCCTCATGGTTCTCTGGAGCGTGTGTACAGAAGTTTTGCCACCCTCAGTGGGTGCGGAGTGCGTACAGCTGAGAGTCAAGTAAGACAGCTGGATGGATGTTTGTTGCACCATCCTCCACGGATGCGTAGCATCCTAGTGGGTGTGAGTGAATCAAGGTGTAAGGGAATCAGGTGTGCCGGTCACCCTTAGCGGATGAGCCTCGCGTGATTGTTGTGCAGAACATAGCAGGAATAGTTCCTCTTCGAGGAACCGCTTTGCACCGGCGGTGTTTAAGGGTAGAGACTGCAGATGGTATCCAGGGTTTTGTGACATCCATATCAACCCGTGTGGTTGATTCGACATCCTTAGTGGATGTGTGTTGGAATGTGTTTTTGGATTTTTTTTCAAGTGTGCAAGTTGTTTCCATCTTCCTTCTCGCTATAAATATAGTTTTAGCTGGGGGTTGGTGCTTTTTCGTTTGGGAAAGTAAACCTATATCCTGCATCATGATGTGTGTCTGGGAGAGGAGTGGGGTGGGAGAAAACATTGAAAAAAAACAACATGGTTTTCACATGTCATCTATGTCTGACTATATCTCCCATCATATCATTTGCATCACCAGGTCCATGAAAGGCAAACAAACGACTCCTCTCAACAGTCTATGTTTTAATATATGTTTCATCATTGCATCATATATGCACCAGCTGGTTACAATTGTATGGTTTATTGTACGTGTTCAGCCTATGTTCAATCCGCTGGAAACTTTACATGCTTCAAAAGGACCAAATTATAAAGTATCCGACGATGCCGTACAAATTGCTATATTTTGGACCCCTGAAAATATACAATTTAAAGGTGGTCGAAAAACAGCACAATTGTGTACAATAAGCTATACCATGTGCGTGATCGATGAACGCAGCATACAGTGGATGAGTAAAATCAAAGAAGCCTTTTTAACCACTCTATTTGAGACCCTCTTACAGTACAAGTGTTTTGTTGTGTCTTACTTGCAATTTGCACGCATTGCTGGATATATTGTTCGACCTCCTTGAAGTTGCGCATTCTTCAGGGGCCTAAAACATATCCAACAATGCCTGCAGTTGGGATATCATTTGGACCACCTGAAAGCATGTACAATTTCAAGGGAGTCGAAGAAGAGGCTATAATAATGCACATGGTCAAGACAAGACTTGGAGATGAACGCAGCATGCAGTGGATGAAACAATTGAAGAAGTCTTTACAATCACTCTATTTTTTGACCATTGTTTAATCATGTCTTACTTGCAATTTGCATGCATTGTAAAAAAGAGGTACACGTTCAAGGGTCTAAAAATAGTGTGATTGTATACAACAAGCTATACAATACCGTACAACTTCAAAGGGGTCGAAAGTTGCAGTGGAGTGATTGGGACCCGCAAGAAACTGGACGCCCAAGAGCCAATAGTGCTGGCGGTTGTCGTCGGGAAGCGACCCGAATAATTACTGATCACCTAGTAGCGTAAAGAACATGTAAAAAAGCACCTAGTAGCGATGCCTTTTGTTACTAGTAGCGATGCCCTTTGCTCCTAGTAGCATCCTTGTTCCTAGTAGTAAGGCCAGGAACCCGTAGTAGCGTACTTGCTCCTAAAAAGTAATATATACATTCACATCATTCATATTCTATGAGAATCTTGCCTGCTCACTGGCGCTGTGCTCCCTGAGTGCTTCAAGGAGTTCTTCATCTTTTGCCTTGACAGGAACCACGACGGCTGCATCCGATAAGCATTGAAGCGAAATCTATGGCCCAGAATCCTGCACTGCCTAAGGTGCCCTAAAATCCAATGCAAATGAAAAAGTATGAAATTCCAATGATTCCAAGGTCTGCAGAGTTTGGTCTAACACCTGTATACAGTTCTCTGACTATGTCTGTGGTTTCGGCATCTAGGCTTCGACGAACAGCATCATAATCCTGCCGGAATGGTGAAGAACATGTGCTTGAAAGATTCAGCAAAACCAAACCAAAAACTTTGGAAGCCTGTCTAGGAATCTGAATCCTGTGACCTGGATTTGCTTTAGGTTTCTGGATTATTTCCTACAAGTCTTGATTCCAACTTGTTTGGATACCAGCTGCTTCAAAGAATTGGAGGGGGCAAAGCCCAAGAACAAAAGGACTAGACTAGAAGCTTGGGACCACAGCTGGCCATCCGGATTGAAACACGTTCCCCAATCCTTCCTAGACCTGTTTCGGCGCGTGCCAATTTTGTACCTCCGTTTATGTTGGCTCCGTCCTGGTACACTTCCTGAAGCACTGCACTGGTCCTCCAAAGAACCAGATCATGAACCAAGTATCTCTCTCTCTCTCTCTCGTTCTCTCTCTCTCTCTCTCTCTGTTTCCCTCCCTGTGGGAAGTTGGAGTACCCGGCCTCTCATCCAGGATGGACTTCCGGGCAGGAAATTGCATTGTCTGACACCGACAAGGTGAAAGAAGGTGAAACAAGCTGAAACTCACATTTTACTGCTTCACAAGCACCTGGCATGGTTTTGACCCAGCCTGCAGTTGGGAATGCAGCTGTGGAGAATCCAACAGTTCGGAAAGGCTCAATGGAGCTTTGACGCGTTGGAATGCTTCAAGTTGAGGATGGCCAAGGACGCCGGTGCCATTCGGGTCAAGTTTCTGAAACATCTCAAGAGCCAGCGACAAGTCGTGTCCAGACACACGGTCTGACGTCATCAAAGCTGCGCAAAGGAATTCCAGACGATTTACTCCAAGGCCATTCTTGTCCAAGTCAACCAAAAGGTCGGCTGGCAAAATGCGTTCTTTCATGCGCAGCTCGAAGTCTGCCCTTTGCTTTCCAAGGTTCCTTCTTCCAATCCTGAACATGATATGCAAGATGCAGAAGACGGAACACAATACGTAGGCAACTTCCAAACCTCGAGCCACATTTTGGTTAACTTTATCTCCAAGCGGGCTCTGCATGTAGCCAACAGTCAAGCTGGTCAGGACAGCCCAGCTGCAAGCATCCAGAAACGATGCACTTGTGGAGGTTACAAGTGCAATTACGACTCCGGCAGCTAGTGTGAAAATACTTTCAAATATGATGCTGCTCCAAAAGCATCCGGCCTCCAGCATCTTGGCACGCGGCTTTGCCCATTGCCTCAAACTTTCCTTGTGAATCTGAAGAATTGACTTGGGCTTTTCCGCTTCCTCCTTGAGGGGCCCTCCCTCAACGTCCACATGATCCCTACCTGATGCTTGCTGTTTGGGAAGGACTGCTGGATGGTCCCCGACCAAATTCTCCAAGGGCAGACCGCCTTTCGTTGCTCCATGACCATCCTGTGCCAACAAATCCGGGGTGTCCCTTGGGTTGATGAAGGCTAAAAGCTTCAACTCGTGAGACCAAAGAAGTGTCTGTGACAACGCGAGCAAAAACCAAATGGTGAGCACTGTTCCCACCAGGACAAACACAAGGAGAAAAATCTGAGCCCCTTGAGATGTGGGATACACCTGCGCGGACAGACCACTGTTTGTCCCTGTCCCGACTGTTGATAGGCTCAACACAGAAAGGTAAAGCCCATCGAGGTAGGACCACTGCTCCACTGGGCAGAAGATTGCTGGGCCCAAGAGCATCCAAACCAAAAGCAGCGACAAAGGCAGAAACCAGCCCATGCGTTCCAACATTCCCGGTTCAGTTTGGAAAGCAAAGCTCATCAATTCTTGCAGGTCCACGGTTCCATCTCCAACATCATAGGCTGTCGATACATCCACAAATTCCCGGAGGGTTTGTGCAGGCACAGCTTTAGGAGGCTCTCGCAGGATCTCTTTCAAATCATGCAAACCGATGCGTCCTGTATCAGCCAATTGTTTTCCACCAAGCTTTCTCAAAGTGTCCTCAATGGTTTGCCGACACTTGGCAGAACAGGAGATTCGTTTACGTCGTCTAGCCAGCTTCTCAAGAAAGGCTCTCAGATTCGCCTGCGAGGTGACAGCGGTTGCACCCACAGACGCTGGTGATCGGCTAGGAGCCGGTGGTGCATCTTCAGACATGTCACTCAGTAAACGATCGGAAAAAGCAGGTACTCTACATTTGCTGAGCTGATGAGCCAGAAATGCAAGTTGATTGCCCTTCACAACTAACTAATTACTTCAATGTACTTGCACTACAACAACTAAAACCAGCTCAAAGGTGAACAGGCAAAAGGATTACGTTGGTGGCTGCGCTGCACAAAATCAGTAGATGCACTTTATTGAAACCTGTCCTGAAAGTGGTTTTTGTCGACATCATGGCTTAATTATCAGCGAAAAAGTCGAACTGTTGGGAATTCTCAAGGCAGCCCGGCTTGGTGCAACAAAGGCGTTTTTCTGGATCTTGGCATCAGATCCTAGCCGAAATGCCCCACTTGGTTTCACCGGAGCTGCATCATTTACTCTGCTGAGCACTTAGCCTTGTCAAAAGTCAAAAGTGTTGCGGAGCAAAGCAGGGCAAAGCTGAGCAGTTGAAAACGAAGACTTGAGACCACAAAGTGAGTGTACAAGAATCGAAGACCCTACATGGTGAGTACAGGACCGTGGTACTTGAGAGGAAACTGAACGATCGTTGGTGCCAGACGTCTGGCAAGATGCTACGTCTGCGAAAGTCTTCTTTCCGCTTGACGTTGAACAGTCCTTGGGTTCATAGTAACTTGTAAGTAACTACCAACTTGTAAGTAGTAGCACAAGAAAGGAACAAGTGCATCATATCCAGCAAAAGTAAGCAAAAAGAGCTGGTAAAAGAGTCAAAAAAGAAGCAAGCTACCGCAGCTTGAAGAATCAGGGACTGAATCTAGTTAGGGTCAATGCCGACAAGGCACTGCATCCAGAAGCTACCTGCTGGGGTCTCCAATTCGGCACTCACACCCGGCATCTCTGCAGATGAAGGCCCAGCCTGAACCAAGTCTACAAAATGCGCAAAATGAATAAAAATCACTAATTCCAAATGCGAGCACAAAACAAGATGGTCTGTATTGTTTCGTCATGCTTGGTGAGTCGGCACTGCTCAGCACCCGTTCATTCTTCACATAATTCAAGACTGCGCAGTGCCACTGCGCCTGTACAGGACCCGCTTTTGCGCGGGCTTGCTGGTGCATCTCACCCTTGTACTGGGAGAAAGCCTGTCAAAATGTGCAATCCAAGATTCGCGGCTCAAGCCCTTGTGCCCTGCCTTCTCCATCATTGTAGTCTCACCAGTGTCCAGATTGTGGAGCAAGAACGGCAGGACTTTGCCCTGCAAGCGTCGTCCACCTCAGGAAATCAAGAAAGTCATGCCCAAAGAACCAACTGTAACATACTGTAACTATATATTGATTAGACAGTACCAACGAATTGTTTCACCAACATGTTGTCACAAGAGGCACCTTGGAGCGATTTCGTACCAGCTCGGGGGAACCTCGATGCTTCCTCAGAAGGTGCCGCTCAAGTCAACAAGCGGGGTAAAGGACGCTACTAGGAGCAAAGGGCATCGCTACTAGGAGCAAGGACGCTACTAGGGGCTCCTGACCTTACTACTGGGAACAAGAAGCTACTAGGAGCTTTAGTCCAGGCTTTCAGTATCTTTCAGTGCTGTTGATTGGCCGTGATTGGCCACAGGTGAAGTCATGTTAAGACGCTTCAATTCACAGACAGAAACATGGATGGGACATGATACATCAGCTTTTGTACAAAAAGGACAATTGTATAGATACATATTTGCACACTGAAGCAGGAAGGTGGGCCAAAAATAACCATCATTGATTGGATAGTTATTTTATGTTGTGTTATGCTCTTTTATCTCTTGTTTGTTTGTCTGTTTTTCAGTGTTCTTTTTCTCATTGATTCTCCAATTTGTGGAGCGCGGCCCATGACACTCATGCAACCTGAGGAACATACCTCATGCTCGTCGGTTTCCTCGAAGCTAGCTGCTTGTACCGTCCAGTGCACTTGCCCTAAGTGGTCGAGGCAAAGCAAATTGTATCAAATTGTCATGTTTGTCCGAGCAAAGCTCCCCTCGGAGTGTATCACAATGCATGATCAAAGTCGGATCTCCAAGGTTGTCTGCCCGGCCACCACTGTTCAGGTCTTTGATGACAGTCAGCTGTGATGGCTCATTCCAGGCATATGCAGCTTCAAGGGCGGAGAGCATTCGATGCGATACCTTGCAGCGTGGGAAGCCATGGCCACTTCAATTGAAAACGATCACGCACTTGACATGCAGCGCATTGCATCTCCAGGAGAACGAAGGACTAAGGCCCGGCCTTAAAAGTGGCTGCTGTGTCAAGTAGCTCATCTGCAGTGAATTTGGCATTTCGTGTGAACCTGACCAGAGAGGCAACAAAATGGCAACATATGTCATGTACAAGATGAAACAACACTTAGCATGTTGGAAGTGATCTCATAGCGTATCACCATAGCAGCACAAGCTCAAACTGCCCACCTCTTCAGAAAAACCAGTGCTTGACATGTGTCCTTACAAGCCCCAACAGTCGAGATGACCCATGTGTTTGTAACTTTTGACGGCTTGACATCCACCAGCACCTTGAGAGGGACAAGTTTTGTACCAATGTAGCTGTGTAGCTCTTTTGGATCCAACTTGCTCACCGTGGCAGAAAGGGTCGCTTTAAAAGCCAAGGTGCCATATCCTGCAAGATATCTTGGATTCGATAGAGCAGGACCAGCCCTACTTGAGCAATGACTCGCCACCCAGCGACCAGAAAGCGGTCCCAGATCCGCCGCACCATGTGCTGTGGCAGGTCGCTGGCATAGAGCGTTAAGAACCACTGGATGGCGTAGTATTCCGAGCTGACGCCGTGTCTCAGGGAGCAGTGGACTAAGGACGAGTATTCCTATTTTAGCCCGTTCAAAAGTAATGAAAGTTTAGTTGCTTATGAAATACGTAACTCCCCCCTCTAAGGAAGAAGTAAGCTACGAGTACTAAGTGAGCTTCTACATATGGACGCAGGATAGCTCACGCTTCTTCGAAGAAGCGCTCGCACTAAAGATTTGGTTCCTAGATGCTTAGGGAAACTTAGGTCGTCTGCAGCGGGCTTAGTCTGTTTGCAGATCTCACCGGCCGGCTGAATATGTGCGTCTCTGTGTGTGTGCGCGGGAAAAAAGAACAAACACCACAGAAACGTGGCCTTCAGCTCAAGATCACCTTTGACATGTTTCTATTGTCTGTGACATTGACAAAAATTAAGAATATAATGTCAAGGAGGTGTGGGAATCCTGCTAGCTTTAGCTTGTGGCACCTCTAACTTTGCCTTGCTTTACCTTGCTTGCTGGTTGGCTGCCCAGCAGGCCTGCTTGTTCCGTCTGTGGCTGCGCTTGCTTGCGAGCATTAGAACAGCAATGTGGAGACTGGATTGGCCAAACACTTGCAAGAAATTTGCCAAAGAAATGGTAACCAAACAATTCCCTCGCAGCGCGCAATCAGTCCAACAGTAATTGCCGATTCGTTATCATTGTCTTGTTGTGAGACATCAAACATATCAAATGTTGACAATGTTCAGTTGCATGAGGGGGAGGCAATTTGGCTCAAAACATGAAAAGGAGGGACTTCAGAGGGGAAAGTCTGGACATTAGGCAGGAAGTTCACCCAGCAAAGTGGAGTTCTCCTGGTTCGCGCCTTGTGAGGGCTGCATGAATCTTTGGCAGAAATCCCTCAACCAGACGATCAAACTGCCAGAGTACAACTTCCAGCTTCTGGAACTTTGGCCTGCGGCAAGTCGAAAGACCATGTTTGTGTTGACTTCCCTCAGTTTGACTGTTTGCTGGGCGAATGTGTTGTGTCGTCAGGCCCAACCCTAAAGCGCTCTGGGTTCCGGCCTGTACAAGTCTACCAAAGCATGCCGCAGAAGCAAGGCTAGGGCACAATTGAATGCAGAAAGTTCATCCTCTGGGAACACGAGTATCCTAGGCTGTGCATCTGTGCATCCGAGCTGCGAACCGATCGAACCTTTGCAGTTGGGGTTACGCTTGAGAAAGTGGACATGACAATGATATTACAATGAGCCTTCCTGGCCCTAACACCTCCAACTAGTCAAAGTGTGAAAGTCTTCAAACATCATTGAACTAAATGCTAACAAAGCATCATGGTAGCGATCACAAAGTTCCTGCCATTGTGAGGAGTCACGCTATGTTTGAACCAAAGGATTTCCATCAAACTGACAGAAGCCTTTTTCTTAGCCCGCTCCTACTTAATTAAGTAGGCGCCTACTTACTTAAGTAGGGAGTAAGCTACTAGTATGGAAGCAGGATAGCTCACACTCGCACTAATCATTTGGTTCCTAGATTTAGGGAAACTTACTGTAACTGAGGCTGCCGCAAACTCTGACAATAGCCAATTTCGCTCAGGCGTATTGCAAGGCTTCGCAAAAGCCTTTCAATGTTTTTGCATGGCTGGGCCGAAAGCTATATTAAACTATAATATATATATATTATATAATGTATATGTATATATCTAATATAGGTAGATACTGTAGAACACGTAATATAGGACCTTGACGTTTGACCCATACATGCCTCCCATGCCCAGCCAACAACTAGGCATTCAAATCTGGGGCAGGATTGCTACAGCTCTAGCAAACATCCTTCCTCTGCCAAGAGGTGCTTTAACATTACTGCAAGCCAACGAAACAAATGAAGATCAGCATGCTAAGCCGTGCTTGATGCTGGTCAAGGCTTGGCCTGAAAAGCATGCGTTGTCCCTGTCCATCCACTTCCTTGAAGAGAGCCTCTTGTGGAAGCGTTCCTTGCCCCAACGGGTCTTATGCATCATCAATGTAGCTATCTTATTGGTGACAAGCTCTTTGATTCCAAGTATCGATGCACGTCGAGGCGAATTGCAGAGTCAAATGGGCAAGGCTGCTGACACAATCGTTCCTCAAGGACTCTTATAGGTTCACAATGGTGAAGTATCTGCACATAGTATTTCTTCACACGGCGGAGTTCAAAGTTCCAAACACTTGCAAAAATCTGCCACGCCGCATATTCTTCAGAATCATGTAAATGAATGCCAGTGAGCAAAAGTACCTAGGGTCATCTGGGATTCGATTCCACTCTGCTCTGCTCTTAGCTCAGCACAATCTGCGCCGCTGCCTTCCAAGCGCTGGCACGGCTTTCGACATCTCCTTGCCACAGAGCCTCCATGATGGGCTGCCTCAGCTGCCGTTCGGCCCAAACAAAGGGAAGCCCGTGTGTCATCGCTGTTTAATCATTTGATGTGCCCACAGAGTCTTCCTGGTGAGTACCAAGATGCGAAATCCCACCAGGAAGTCCTTTGCTCCCAGTACCTCAAATATGGCCCAGTTTCCCACTCGACCCAGCCAACATTCAGAAAGAGAGATTTGCTCAGCCCATTGACCATCTTTGCGGTCTGACAGCTGCCGCAGCCATGTGGAGACCGTGACACATTGTTTGGCCTGAAACAAACGGAACTCAGACTTCAGCGGCCAAAAACTATGAGTTGAACAATTTTCAATTAGAGCTCTCTCATCCACTTCGAACTCTTCAAGCTGCCTTATTCCCTCAAACCACCCTCGTGCACGCACTTGAGAGAAAACACCACTTGCAAAAGGGCGTTGAAACTCGTATGACATCTCAACTCAAAGCTATACGCCTCTTATTCAAGTTCAACGCCTCTTATTCTTTGCGTCAAAACACAGCTCTGAAGCCTCGAAGAACGGTAAATAGCTCAATAAACCCCTTGATATCAGGAGGCTCCAGGCATGCTGTGCCTGGCAAAGGCAAAATCCTCCTGTTCCAAACTCAAGAGGAAAGCGGAACATTTGTTCTGGAACATTCTGGAACTGCGTTTATCTGTTTGACCCGCCTCAGAGATTTCTACGTGCATTAGAAGTCATCTACTTTGGTCTCGCCAGCTAAGCTCTGAAGTCGCAGCTGAGAAGGCGCTCTTAGAAGGCACTCTGAGTTATCGATGTGCACTCGAGTTACTTCTTCAATCAGATGGTGCCGGACTCTCAGTGTGATATTGTCCCATTCGCATGTCTTAACAATCAACTGTCCAAAAAGTAATGTTCAAATGGCACAAATTACCCATGGAGGCTAGCATTGCATGTGTTTTTGGCCACTATCTTTATTTGCGTCATGCAGAACCTAAAGCGCTGCGATAGCCAGTCAAGGGGACACAATGCTGTATCTTCAAAGGATTGCTCTGGGTGATTCTCACAGATCTTCGCTTGCTGTTCTATTTGCCCACTTGCGCAGCCCCAAATAGTATGCAACAGGCAGGGTCAGATGAAACCACAGAGTCAGAAACCTGGCAGAAGCCGCCGTGGCACCACTGTCAGAATGTGCCGGAACAAGAAGCTTTACCACGGGCCTTGCCTTTGGACTCAGTGAGGTAAGAGAAGCTTTTCTGGCGTGGTTGAGCTAGGTTCAACACGGTTCAACATGGTTCAACCAGTCGTTTTCGGCTCTTCAACAACGACGCCTCAATTTGAGTGCAAGTGTCTTCCAACCTGGGTCAAAGCCGCCAGAACGCTTGCAAGAGAGATATAAATCTGAGCAGAAAGAAAGTTCAGTTGCATGCACTTGCTTGGCGCTTGGCAACCCCAGCAACTTGCTCTGAACGGCTTCCCTCTTCTGTCGCTCCTTTAAAGGCATCCACGCAACTTTGCATGGCGACAAATTTCATCAAAGGCCTGCTGGATCTCCCCATGCAAGCGGCCACAAACATCCTCGATTCCGCTTTCACTCCATGCATGTCTCTGACACAGTGCAAAGGCAGGGCCTCCACCATTCGCAGCATCATGCCCTCTGCTTCAAAACGCAGTTTCCTTGGTGCTCATACTAGTTGGATCTTGAAGGCACAGTAGTCAATGCGTGATGAATTTTGATAACCTCAATTGTCCGGAGGAAATTGATGTTTAGGTCATGAATTCATGAGGGACTGGGCATGAAGGGCAGGTGAGGCTAGCTACGCCCACGACGCAGGGCTTGGATTCTTCAAGGCTCCCCCGGGCTCGGCTAGGCAGTGGGGGCCTCCTTGAAGGATCCGTTGCAGGATCGATTTACGTCAATGTTTTCCGCACGAGTAGCAAGGTGCCTTACTACTAGTAGCTTGTTACTAGTAAGACGCCTTGCTACTAGCAAGAAGCTACTAGCAACAAGGGCATTACTACTAGTAGCAAGAAGCTACTAGTTTTGGTTCTTCAAAAAAAAAGGAAAGCTTAACTTGGACAAGTTTCTGCTCAGTCTCCAGATCATGTTGAAGCTGCTGGAAGTTCGACTGCAACATGGGCAGAACTAGCACTCAGAAAATGTGTAGAATTGATTTGATTTGTTGATTTGTTGGGGTGCAGTGCAGAGCTCCTAAGATGAACCTTGCCTCCAGCTTGAGCAGAATCTGTTCTCCTTGTTCAACTCTGGACTTGGTCAACAGTGGCCATCAACATGATGGAATCCAATGAGATTTTTCTGACTGGAAACCCTAACATAAACATCTTAGTGTGTGGCCAGGTGCTGTTTTTCCAAGAGAGCATGAAGCCTCTGCACCTTGTCTTCTGTCACACCAGTTTTGTAGGCATGACCACTAACACGACAAACTTCTGGAGCAAAATAACATCTAGAAACTTCTCAGAGGGAAAAATAATGCCTGGGAGGCAGCATTACAAAACTATCATGAGCAACTTCAAGTCTTGGGAAAGTTCAAGTGATGGTTGGCAGTCACACCAAATGGAAAGCTGGAGAGCCTCCTCCCCGATTTCACGCACATGTTCGTCCTGCACCTGCCGCGTACGATGTTTTCCTTACGAAGCTTGAAATTGAGCAAGAATTGTTTCTGATTCTGCCTTTCTCTCAAGCAAAGAAGTTGAACTGGCGGCGGCTGCGCCGACCCTTTGTGAGCACTTTCCTTCACCAGGTCAGCCCTGCAATCCTCAAGCATGGCCTTTCCTTTCTCCTGCAAAGAAACATTGCTGGATGTATCATGTTGAAATGTTTGAAGAGAAAGAAAGCCCGCGAGTAAAGTTGAGGAGAATCCAGTGCAGAAAGTGGAGTGCAAGCCGTTTAGAGCAACCAAAACAAAGACCCAGCACGACCAGGCACCAGCACCACCAGCAGCAGCAGCAGCGCTTTGAGGTTAGGACCGCTAGCATCGGAACATTTCATCACATGATGCGAACTATCCGCCCTCGTTTTAGACAGCTCTTTCACGATTTGTGTGGTCATTCTTTTTGCTGGGGAGGGAGGAAAGTTGGAAGGGTAGCTAAGTAGCAAGAGAAGATGCTCCTTTCGACTCCTTCACATCATCGGTTGCTGGAGTTTTTAAGAAGGGGTCGATGGATGTTGATGGCAAGGATTCCCAGATATGAGAGAAGGAAATTTAAATAGCTGATGTGTTTCGTTCCTGAAACTGAGGGAGAGAGTCTTTCTTGATTATGATATGAGTCGCGGACAAGCCTCGCATTCCATTTTTCAATGAAAATAGTATCGCTAGTAGCCCCTATTGGTTGTGCAGAAAGCCAGATAATTAATTAAGCACCTTCTTGCAGAGCCTTTGCGCGAGCCGAACTCACTTATATAAGTAAATTCAAGAAGTGCACAAATACCTTGAATTCCTAGCTTCGGTTTGCATCAAGGAAGTTCAAGCAAAAAAGATTTTGGTTAGAGCATGCAGCCCAGCAGTCCTGTAACGATGATTCGAGTTGAATCCTTTCGGACACCGCCTTCTTTAGGTCCTGCTATTTTCAATCATGTCTTTGATGAAAACCGAAGGCAAGTCAGACGTGACGTGACACACAATCAACAGGGATTCCGTCCGTGTCAAAGCTGCCCTGGACCATTTGCAGTTCCTTTCTCCTGACAGCACATGGCGGTTGATGTCAGAGCCGAAATCAATCCTCCGCCTCCGCTCATCGTGTATCTCTCGGGCAACTCTTATTGCTTGCAAACCTGGCACACGGACACGTTCAGACCATCAAAGGTAGGCTACTTACTTGTTTTTTTCTTGAGAGTCATGGAGTCCACCCCCACTTCACCGATTGAGCTCACAGTAATACACAAGGCCTTCTTCCAAGCACGTGGTCTGTTCCAAGAGAACCCGCATTCGCGTACTGTCCCCCTGAACAAACTTTGAGAAAGGGTATCTGACCAAAGAAAGTGCTTGCAAAAGCTTCGCCTCAGTCATCTGGGCAACACGTTGCTCCAACGAGGCAATCTGCTTCTCTATCTGCCGACAATTTGCAAGTGTTGTACGTCTGCCCGGCCAATGCACACCAGGACTTTCTACAGCGGTGCTACTGCCAGTGTCGCCACTGCCAGAAAGCATCCAAAGCACAAATGGAGTTCAACCAAACGTACCCTCGCTAGCCGCTAGCCTCAGCTGGGAAGAAATGCAACGGAGACTTCCTCAGTCAGAACATATGCTGTCGTGTGTTGCAGGTTAACTGCTTTGGTGTTCTATGATGTTGTGCTTTGAGCAGCGTTGTGGGCCTCTTCCGGTACTTTATCATAGTAATTATATGTATTTATAAACTTAAATATACTAATTTCTTGAAGGCAGTGTATGACTAGCATGATCCTGTTCCGGCCGCAAACGAACAGAGCCAAGTATCTCCCAGTGCATCTCGGGCCTTTTGCTCCATTCAGACGGAAACTCCTGAAGCGTCTCCCAGGATCCCAGCAGAAATAGCGTTTGGCACCGATGGTCACGAAACAAGAAATCGAGCCACTCGAGTGATTCCTCTACACTGATGGCAAGTCTTGTGTCATCTCTCATGCGCCATTGTCTCCTGGTCTTGAACTTTGGACACCAAGTCTGGAGCCTGAGGGAATCCAAGATCCATCGGACCCGTCAGCTCAAGAAACAGTCGCCAAGATTGATTCCCGCATATTCCCACAATACATTGCGGTTAGACTTACCACTAGTCAGTCCATGATCAAGCACTCGAAGCTACTTGTGTAGGGCTCCTTGCATCAACATGAAACCTGCACAAGCGAGACAACACCGGAAACGTTTTGGCAAGATTGCAAGGTGTTTCACCCCCTGGCATTGAGCTGTGCCTGGATCTGACTGCAAGCGGTTCAGCTACAGGTTCCCACCTGAAACTGTAAAAAATAGTTTTTTCAAATATTCAAGGATCGTTTATATAACTGAGAACACCACAAAAGCAATAGCAGCGTTCTCTCAGTAGCAACAACATGTAACCACCAGGCAGCGGGCAGAGCACCAGTTATGGAGTTCAATGCCTTTAAGCATGGCAAGTCAACACTGGAGCTGGAAACCACTGGAAGCAGCGCACACAAAATCTTGACTCTACAATGGGCAACAGATGAACCGTGCTGAATCCCAACTGTGCCGTGGGCGATTCCGCAGTGTCGGCAAAATGCCTGGATTCGGCGTTCACGATGGACTCGCCCCTTTGCTACTAGTAGCTCCTTGCTCCTAGTAGTGAGGCCAGGAGCTACTAGTAGCATTCTTGCTCCTAGTAGCGATGCCCTTTGTTCCTAGTAGCGTTCTTGTTACTAGTCAAGTCCGCGGCCCATTTCTTCAAAATGCTGTTCCCACAGTTGGGACAGGGAGCTGAGTCCTGGGATGAAAAAGGTGGGATGCAAAAGTTTCAAGATTCCAAGCTGAATGCTGCTCTCCTCCAAAGCCATCTCCACATACTGGAAGACTGTATGCCACTTTGATTGCTTGTTTTGATTGGTCTAGTGCAGTTTTGTTCTAACGCAAAATGCTACACCTCACCTATCCTAATTTTAAAGGCGCGGTCTAGTAAAGTCTTGGTTAAGGCGCTCCTACAGTAAAGTGCGGTGCTTCAGGTTTTTGACTCTGAACTGAAAGCCACCTACTCACAAGGAAAGACTGCTAGCGATGGGGCGTTTGGTGTAAAGGCCTTCAGTCACAAATCTCGTGGAGAAAATATACAGTAAGTTGCAAATCATCTGGGTTCAAAGGGCTGTCAGACTGTTGCTATCTCTTGTGCTGCCAAAATGCTGAGTCGTGCGCTCAGAACATCATTAAGCTGTGCACAACAAGGTGAGGTCTACACAAGCAACCAAGAACGACCAATTACAACGCAAAATGCCGCAAGGCACCGCACAACTCTCATTTCTATCACAAGTGATGGAAGGTCGGACGTGGCTGAATCAGGCCCGTAAAGTTCATTCATGGGCTCACAGGAGCCTCAAGCGGATGTTTAGCAAGTTTCTGCATCTGCTCCCAGGTGCGATGACGTTGCCCACAAGAGTACGTATTCACTTGAAATTAAGGAAATCCCAGTCATATTTGTAAGGCTTTGCTCTCGTTTTCCACGTATTGTATTGTGCGTTGTAAGTTTGAATCATGTGTCATGAGAAGAGCTAACATCAAAACCCGAGTACAAATGCTGTCTACCACGAAAATGTCCGCTTGTTGCACATGTCTAGGAATCTCTGGCAAGGCTCTCGAATCTACAGAAAAGGAGACAAAGCTGGAGGATGTGGAAGTGGAAGTAAGAAGCCTGGTTGGGTGCAACCCTATCACCTGGACGTTGGCAGTTGTGCTTATGAGTTTGGCATCGTTCGGAGGTTATACGAGCGTCATGCACTCAGCATTCAGCATTCACCTTCTTTGCAGTGGAGACTGGAGGCAACAAAGTTTGCACACAGCCAGAACAACAGCACCTGCTGTCTAAACTACCTATATCCAGCTCATGATAATGCAGTACTCCCACTATGCCAGGCTACTGCAACCAGGTCATGTTCTTTATACGGCCATTTATATACCTGAGAAGGGAGGGGACGAAAGCCAGCCTCTGCGGCAAGCGGTGTGCCCTTAGGGTTAGGCTGGCGTTTCCAGGCATGGCTCTTGTTTTCGTTTTAGGTCAGAGGTGTGTTAAAGGGTAGAGTGGAGAAAGAGTAGCTAGAAGTGGTGAAGTTGACATCGCGGCCACTCTCATGGGAGGTAGAAATGGAAAGTATAGTACATAGGTTCGGGGGCGCCCGTTTTCGTCGTGGTTCGGGCTCGTTTTGGAAGTGAAAAAGTACACCCTGGAAGGAAGTGAGCTTGCTGTGTGGTGCCAATCAGTGAGCAAAAATGGTTATGGGGGGTCGAGGCCAGGTTATCGGCAGGCTTTCGGGAGGAGACATATATGTTTGCAGGAGAGGGCGCCCCCCAGCAACGCTAAGCTTGCCCGCAACTGCAATCTGTTCTCTTTCCTGCTCTCAGGTATAGGGTGAGTTGCAACCACTTTTCGGGGGTGTCCTTTTCGGTCCGGCAACTCAGCCCGCTGCAATCTGTTCTCTCGCGTGCCCTCAACAAATGGCATCATGCACCCCATATGGGATACCCTTTTGAGTCCAGCAACTAGACCTTGCCACGGATAAAAAAGGGCACCCCTAAGCAATTCAAAGCCTTCCGCCTCCAACGCTTGCCCACTGCAATCTGTTCTCTCTCCTGCCCTCAACAACCCCCCAAGCAACTCAAAACCTTCCTGCCTCATCGCTAAGCTTGCCCGCAGCTGCAATCTGTTCTAACCACTTTGCACGTCCCCTTGTCTTCCCTTTCCTCTCCTAAGCCCCTCCTGATGCCGATGATGCACTCTTCGCCGTCAATTACATCACTTGCATCACAACACTCCAAAAACTATTCCTTTTCACTACCTCCTGGCCACCTCTTATTTTTTGTTCTCCTCCACCAGGCTCTGGGTCAGCCTCTCCAAGATTGCCCCTCTCGCAACCACCCCCCCACACCCCCTTTACTCACTTCGTTCGCATAGCTACCTCAAGCCTTGCCTATCGGCTGGCTTTCGTGATATGTATATATATATACATGGGCGGGCGCTGATTAGGGGGCCCCCGGGGGAGTGATCCAAGACCTATTGAACGTAAAGTTGCTAGTGTTAATGTCAGCGCCCCCCATTTACATATATATATATATATATGTGCAAGTGTAGTGACGCGGGAAGAAGTTGAAGAAGGAAGTGAGGAAAACCATAGTTGCCATTGATCGTTTGAAATTGAACAGGAAGCATATTGCGGTACATTTTTTGATTTGAGAGATAAGGCACAGTTACAAATTGGATACAGGTACATCAAAGAGTTTCTTTTACAACGCCATGCTTACAATGTATAGAACCTACATAGTGTTAAGATTGACGCCTTCACCATCAAGGCTCAAGATGACAAGATCTGTTAATAAGGTTAGAGGCTGGAGAGTGAGCAAGTATGCTCAAAAAGAAACCTAATGAACTTTACCAAGTTGTAGAAAATCAAATTGTGGAAATACAAACCTCTATATCAATATCAACCTATATTCTTTCTACCTCGAAAAAAAGAGAAACTCAATCTGATGAGCCTGATACTGATGATATTGCTAGTAAAATTGAGAAAGTGAAACAGGTAATGATGTCTAAAGTCATGTCTGCCAGAAAATTGTTGACAAAGGCTACATAGTATTATTTGTATGCCCTACTAATTGGAAGTTTTCTAAACTGTTACTTGGAGATTGCAGCCCGCACCGGCACGCAGCTCGGGTCCAAGAGGCCCTGGGTTTTTTTCGTTCCAGGAGGGCGTTGCATGGCGCGGTGGCGATGGCTCCTCGCTGGAGTGCACGGGCCCTAGCGATGGCTGGTGGCAGGCACCGACCGAAGAAGGACCACCTCGGTCCAACCAGACATGTTGGGACCAGCCGGTCCGATGTTTTCACCAGAAGGTGAACTTGACCATCTCATCCGCCCAGGAGCAGTATGCAACGCTGACTACCTGGGATAGCGTGATTTGGTCGATCCTGGACACGCTTTTGAGCGCTGGTGTTCGGGCAGAGTTGGACGAGCGTGTGGACCGGATGCTCCCTGATCCTCTGCATCGCCACTTTGATGGCCATCTGCCTGGTCTTGCATTACTCATTACTCCTGTCCCTCGCTCGGCCCCTTTGCTCGCTCATCGGGACGATCCTCACTGCGATCTGGGTGGTCAGGGCCTGTGTGTGCTGCGGAAGGGCGGCTTTTTCATGTCCAGAGGCTCTCTGGCGGTGTCCCGAGACGACTGGAGCGAGCTTCTTTGGGCCCGAAACGGGCGAGGTGCCGGAGACAGAAGCTTAAGAAGGGTACAAGTGAGGACAGATGGGCGCTACTTCGACGTGATGGACATGTGGTCATCATCAAGGTCACGGAGAACGCGGCGATCAAGTCCAGCGGCGTGTACTTGAGCTTTGACCCCGAGTCAGTTCGAGGAGATGCACCACTGCTGCTGGCGCTCAAAGGCTACGAGCGCGTGCACCTGTGCCGACACGACAGTTGCCCAGAAGAAGGACAGCACTTCAAAGAGTTTAGGCGGGCCCAGAGGTCAGGATCCAAGGCAATGGGCTGGTTCTTCTCCAAAGCGAACACGGCGGCCAAGAAGCTTAAGGACCATGCCAGAGAGTCCGAGCGGGAGGAGACTGAAGTACGCTGTGCCGATGGGAAGGAGAATTTGGACGGAGCTGCCTGAGTGAGAAGCCGTGTGAAGAGACTGCCACCAACGAGGTTACATGGAGGAGGACCGGGTGGGACTGCCGGGCTTCCAAGCTGTGTCAGGGCACGCCGTCCAGTACCTCACTTCCAGCGCTTCTCTCAAGTGTTCATACGGGGGTTGCAGCAGACTGGGTACCACATCGAAGCAGGGCCTACGAGTGTGTGGAGCTCGCGAGGATCTTGGCGCACCAACACTAGCGAGGCGTTCCTCTCGGTCGAGGTCAAGGGTAAGGGAACTACCTCAGAATGAAGAAGAAGGTGATGATCGATCTGAAGGAGAAGGAGAAGATCGTCTTCGGCGGCGAGTGCGTGGACGTGAGGTGTCCTACAATGTGAGTGATGCGGAGGCCATGTTGCGAGAAGTACGGGATGAAAAGGAGGAAGCCCCGATGGTGCAGCATAGCCTAGCAAGGATGGGCATGATCAATTCGCCGGACCGAAGGGGTGAGATGACCTATCTCGAGGAGTTCGTGGAGCAGTTGGCCGACGGGAAGGAGCTCCAGTCCAATGAGGAGGACATCAGAAAGCAAACGACGCCGCCATCCATGCCTACTTGCAGAAGGTGCAGGAGGGCAACTGTGTCAACGTCCACAAGTTAGAGACAGCGATCAATGTGGGCCAGGAGGTCATGCTCCCAGTGGTGGCGGCGCACGCGTGGATGACGGAAGATGGAGAGAGGCAGCACGTGTATTCCATGAGCGGGCCGTGCAGATGGCCATTGTTGGAGCCGGTTGAGAAGCGGATGCAGAAGATCCTTCCAGGCGCAGGTGGGGGAGTGGCTGGAGGCTCACCTCATGGGCGACAAAGCGGTGAGCACCCAAGTGGCGCGATTGGAGCCGACGCCAGGGCTGGCTGATGCCCTACCTCGACCACAAGGGCGACCCCATCCTCAACGAGAATAAGGTGTTGGGCTACCTCGGGTACCTGGGTTGGTTGGGCACATCGGTGGCCACTATGAAGCAGGCGGTATTCGCCATCAAGGATGCTCGCAAGCGGGCAGGCCATGGAGACACGACCAACAAGACGCACCGCCTGTGAATCGTCTTGAACTGGAGAAGAACTCAGCGAAAAGGCCCAGGCGCCTGGGAGTCACTGTTCAGACGCTCAAGTGGATCGGAAAGCAAATGGCCACGGGAGCAGAATCCTTCGGAGAGCTCAAGGTCGACTGCAGGATGGCGCAAGCCGCTTTGGTGACCGCTTGGTTCTTCATGCTCCGACCCCGAGAGTTCTCCGATTCCAGTGGGGTGGACCAGGAGACGATCGTCAGAGGCCAGCACATATCCCTGACCACCCAGGGCCAGGCCGACGAGCAAGATCTACAGGAGGTCACGATGCAGTTCAGGAAGACGAAAGACGATGCTGAAGACGGAGGTTGAATATGTCTGTGTGGTCACTGCCCTCCATCGTCTTCGTGAAGTGGCACCTCGTCGGTTCGGGAAGGGTCCAGAGAGCCATTTGCCACTGTTCAGGTGGGCTTCAGGGGCGGTGGGACGAACGGCCAAACGCCTCGAGATCCAGAATCTGCTGCAGCGAGCCACCAAGGCGTTGGGACTCCCGGCCGAGCGATTCCAGTCGCACTCTTTGAGGATTGGCGGAGCGTCCGCTCTCTACCAGGCGACCGGGGAGATGGAGGTCGTGAAGAGGACGGGACGTTGGACGTCCTCGGCTGTGCAGCGATATCTGCACGATTCGG